GCGGGGAGTCTGCTTCTCCCTCTGACCCTCCTCCCTCTCATGCTCTCTCTCATTCTGTCTCAAATAAATAAATAAATAAAATCTTTAAAAAAAAAAAAGAAAATTAGGAGATTGTATTAGAAGGCCAAGATGGTGATAAGGTCTTCAGAGTTTGAGATCTGGAAAGTTGTGAGCCCATGTATGGTTATTTATATGTCTAAAAAGATAATCAAAGATTATATTTCTCAACACATTTGTTTGCATAAAAATATTTTCCCCCAAATCAGAAAGAAGGTGTCCAGGTAATATTGCTGCATAACAAAGTATTCCAAACTTAACAACAATCCTTCTATGCTCACAGTTTCCTTGATTCAGTAATTTCGGAAGAACAAAGCAGAAATGATTTGTCTCTGCTCTATAATATCTGGGGCCTGAAATGGGAAGAATTGAAAGCTTGGATGACTCAACATCAGGAGCCTAGAATCATCTGAATGCATGTTCACTCACATAACTGGAACCTAGGATAAGAAAATGCAAAAATTAAGATTTTAACCTGGAGTGCCTACACATAGATTCTCCATACAGCTTGGCTTCCTCACAGCATAGTGGCCTCAAGGTAGTCAGATTTCTTAACACGGTGGTTCAGGGCTCCAAGTGTAAATGTTCCAGTAAGCAAAGCAAGAAGTTATATGTTTTTTTCTCTGACCAACAGACAGAAGTTACTCAGTATCATTTCCACAGCATCTTATTGGTTATAAGCAAATCAGTAGCCCACTCAAATCTAAGAAGAAGAGACAAGACTATACCTCTTGATGGAAAGAGTGTCATGTAGAATGGGAGATATTGTCATGGTCACCTTTGAAAAGTACAGCCTGACACAGAAGGTTTTATTTTGTCTAAATGAGTTACGAAACAAAACTATAGCCTTACTTGGTAACTGTATGTGTTTAGTCTGCATGCCTTAACTAAGCCATATACTTAATGACCTCTGCTTTAGGAGTTATGAAGTTTTAATAAAAAATGATAAATGTTGTTGGTCATCATAGAGTGAACAACCCAATTAAGCATAAAACATGGCTATAACACTTAAAAATGATTTTTTTTTCCTGTGGCACCTAGGTGGCTCAGTTGGTTGAGTGTCCAACTCTTGATTTTGACTCAGGGTGGTGAGATCAAGCCCCGCCTTGGGCTCCACATTCACACACAGTCTGCTTGTCCCTCTCTCTCTGCTCCTACACCTGCTTGCATGAGCTCTTTCTCTCTCTCTGAAATAAATTAATTAATTAAATCTTTTTTTTCTTTTTTTTAATAAATCTTTTTAAAAATTGACTTCTTTCTTGTTAAAATGCTGTATATATTCAGTGATGGGGCTCAGAGAAAGATTGCATAGTTAGTGAATGTTGGTGGGAGATGGGCCTTCAATTGAGTTTGGAGGAAGAGGAACCAATCCAATTTAACAAAGAGTGCTAGTATGATATAAAGGCAAATAAGACAAAATTGCTTTTCTCAAAAAAATAAAAGATAAGACAACTGCACAAACTGGGAATATAAAAGAAGATATAAGATCTTAGTGAAGAAAATAGAGAAGGATTTATGAAGATAGCACCATTTGAGATTAACTTGGAAAATGCAGAACATTTGAGATACAGAAGAGGAATATAGGAGGTCATGATTTTCTAGATACACCTATTCAGAAATACTTGTGTAGTGTAATGTGGCAATAATGTATAATGTGTTTAGTATAGAGTGGAAGATAAAACCAGAAAAAATAAATAGGGTCATGGAGTGGTTCATCTTCTACTTTTCTGAAGACTGTGTATACACTGGGTGGGCAGCTTGTACATGAAGAGGAGGGTAGAGTGACCGGGGGTGAGCTTCAAGAAGTTAGCTCACTCTGGGAGCAGTGAAGGACAGAGTGGAATAGAAAAGAGATGGAAGCAACGAAATCCATCCAGAGTCCCATTCAGTTGTTGGAATTCTATTTTTAATACTAGTCAAGTATTAAATTATTATTTTTAATACTAGTCAAGTCAGCTTCACCACCAGTAGTCATGCATAAAAATGTTCCACAAAGCATCATACTTTTTAAAGAAACAGCTAACCATTGAGAATTTCTCTTCTCTGATATGTTCTTATTTCTTCTCTGAAATTTTTTGAGTGGCTTACAACAAATGTTAGTATCCATGTATTTTGGAACTGGCATGGATTTTTAAATTGAAATCATTCATAACAAATAATATATGTTGAAACATGTTGAGACTTTTACTCAATTTCTATAGTCTTACCCATGTACATTATGGAATCACACTATTCCCTCAGATGTCTTGTGTATTCTATGTGATCCAGGAACATCTAACTGAGAATCTGAGTAAGGGTACCAATATCATTCCACATATCATATGTCATAACTGAATATACATGTATATTATATTATAGATTATATTACATGCATTTATATGCACAGTTGTCTTGTATATTAAAGAATGTAAATATATAAATATTTTTAAATTAGTAAGTTTTATTTCTTCCTTATTTTTATGTAAGGAATAAATGTTGACACAAATTCTAGGATATCCTTCCTGTGCCCTACTGAATAATCTGTCAGACTCTCAGCAGTGCATGACTCTCCCTTTGGAGATTCCTGGTTAGGCCCATGGAAATAAAGCTGTTGAGGAGACTAGACAGAAAGGAAATGAATGAATGCAAAACAGGCAGAATGGAATTGGCATCTCACTGAATATAGCACTTTACAAGTTCTTTTTGAGAACTCTCATAGGGAAATTATTTATTCTTCTTGTGGGATCTTGGCTGTTTTGGATAACTACAATTAAATAATATAAGCATCAAAAGTTTTATCTTTGTGCTCATACTGCTTTAACCCATATATATCCTCCTTGATATGAAATCAAATTTACACACATTGCCAAGACAATAGCCACTAATTAGTGAATGCATCAGGTTCTAGAAGAAACTATCCAACATGAGGATATAATTCTGATCACAGAATGCACACCAAATCAGTGGCATTTGTATAATTTCTCCCATACTAAAGAATTTTCTTTCAAAGAAGAAAGGATGCCAAAGCATTTGGAGGAAGACCCTCTTAAGCTAAGTGCTAAGTATAATTCATTCAAACACTTTTCAGTACTCACCTTTGTCAGCTTATCTCATCCACATGAGCAGCATTCATTCTATCAGAAGACAAATGTGCCCATCAGATGGGTGCTAGGAGGAAAGCAGAAGAGCAAGATAAATGTCATCCATTTGTTTGGGCCACTCTTCAGGCTTGGGATTAAAATATGGTCATGAGATAATCTAGAAGGAAACAGAGGCACAATGAGGACACACAGGGGAGAGTTGGTTTCATGCCAGGTTTATCTCCAAACACAGTGAGACAGAACTTCTGTAATACCGCATTGTCCTCCCTAATTCACCAAGGAGCTTCATAAATGTCAGAAATTATCTGTATCTGTGGGCGCCTGGGTGGCTCAGTCATTAAGCATCTGCCTTCAGGTCAGGTCATGATTCCAGGATCCTGGGATTGAGCCCTGCATCAGGCTCCCTGCTCCGCGGGAAGCCTGCTTCTCCCTCTCCCACTCCCCCTGCTTGTGTTCCCTCTCTCGCTGTATCTCCCTCTGTCAAATAAATAAATAAAATCTTAAAAAAAAAAAAAAAAAGAAATTATCTGTATCTCTACTATCTTGCTCACTGCCCCCAAATAGACTTTCTTAACCCTGGCAGATTCCCTCCCAGTCTTTCTTATCTACTGGCCCCTGTTTCGTATAAGAGTGTCCAGCTAAAGCAACTGTTTTCCTCAGGGCCGAGAACTTTTCTTCTGTATAATCTCATTTGGGGGCGGTTGAAATCTCCTCCTTTAATTTCTACACATTGTCATGTCTGTGATGTATGTGTGGTCTGGATATTTAACCCTCTATTTTGCTTCAGACCACCGATCCTATTGATCTTGGACTCATGTGTTACTAGCTTTTGCTTTTCTGGATGTTTTGTTTTGCATACGTTGAAACCACTACTTGCTTTTCTATCCCTGACCCAAAGCTAGCACTCTTTCTGATATTCTTTATTAAATGTCATTTGTCTGACATAAGGAAATTTGTTATATCTCTCTTCAAAGAGTTTTTCAAACTTTACGGCTGATAACATAGCATTCCTGTTTTTAAGACAGGACTAGAAAAACTACAGCCTATAGGCCACATCTGGTGCAGTGTTTATGTTTGTAAAGAAAGTTTTATTGGAACACAACCAACACCTGTTGTTTTATATATTGCCTATGGCCACTGGCATACAGCAGAGTTGAGTAGCTGGGGCAGAAACCATATAATACACAAAGCCTCAAATATTTACCATCTGCCCTTTAGAGAAAAAATTGCTGGTCTCTGAGTTAGGGGCTTAGGGAAACAAGACCATTTGCATAATACAAGGATATGGTATTAAAATTTTTAAGAAGGAGAAATAGAGGAAGTAAAGATGACTAGGGAATCCGGTTTAATTTCTTATTATTCATACTGAATATGCTCATATGGAATAAAATTTTTTAAAAAAAATCTCACATTGACTAAGAAGTTTGAAATGTACCTTACTAGAAGCCTAAATTAATGGGAAATTCTAGAATGCAATTAAGACTTTTTTTTATATCTTACTCTGAGCAAAAATTAAAATCTTCCTAGACAAAGACATCTGAGTCCCACAGTCTCTGATTCAAAACAAATCAAATCTTTTTTTTCTTTTTTTTGTATTATCACGACCAGAAAATATGAGGGGGAAAATCAGAATGGTCTGGATGAGACTGGTACTGTTTATCAGGCTAATTTTTCTCCCCTCTTATCTAGAGCCAGGTCATTTTTGTTCTATTTTGGTACCATGATTACTCTCATGCTAAAGTCTTTTTTTGTTCCCCCTGTGGCTTTGAGAAATGAGATATTTATGAAAACACAAAAGACTGATTGTTCTGGACAACACAGACAACTTCTTAGCTCTTTCCCATATAATTACTTTGGAGATGAGTTTGAGAACTTGTCAGGGCTCTTTCTGGAATGCGTGGTATCCTATTGCCTTTTATATTGTCATATTGTTCCTTTATAAAAATTAACTTAGCCTAGTCATAGAAAATGTAAAACTGAAACAAAACACAGGCTTCTGATGTATCATTTTAAAGTTATTGTTGTATGCTGCTATTTTTTCCCTGAATAATTTTATGAGAATTATGTCATGCATGCATTTCAGTTACACAGCCTGGTTTCCACTCCTGCAAGATGGAAGAGAAACCAAATGGACTGCTAAACATGGATAACAGTCATCCCATAACATGGAAGTCCCCTTTGTCCCAGACATCTGTTTAAATGAGAAGCAATGGAAACCTGACTTAAGGACCCTGGGGATATGCTGTCCAGTAAGTCACCTACAATAAATCTATAGTTAAGAAAGTTTGAATGAAAACAACACAAAATGCAAGTTAAAACTGGGAATAAAGTTGAGACCCTCAGAATATTCCTCATCGATTTGTCTTTCATTAGGCAGAGTCCGGTCTTATGAGAAGGAATCAAGAACATATTACATGAGAAAACCAGGTTCTACAAACTGCCAAGAAAAAAAAAAAAAAAAAAAAAACGTTGGCTCTGGTCTCACCCCCTTATATCCTTTTAGAATGCTTGCCCACGTTCAAGTAGAGGTGAGTATTGAAAAAAAACTGTAGCTCACTTTTATTAATGAACCCAGGCCTTTATAAAATTCTGAGCAACTTTCATCAGGCATAAATTATCTATTTGTTAATAATAATGATGATTTTTTTTTTTGAAGTAGGGTGGATCTCATTGGTTCTTGCCTCTATGTTGTTGAGCCTACAACAGTTTGATGTGTTAGGAATCTTAGTTGCAGATGATAGAGCCCACTGCAGATAACTTTAAGAAAAAGGGATTTATTGAGGAATATAAAACACTCAAAGGATCATGAAAGGCATTCCAAGAAAGAGACATTAGGCAAGTTTGCTGCTGTCTCCACCATGATTAGAAAGCTCTGAATTATGAAGCCACTTACATAGCTACTGTTTTCAGACCTGCACTCCCTCTTCCATCCTAAGGAAGCTACAAGAACTGGAAGTCACAGCTGCTCTTGCTGGATGCAGTGTCTGTGTTGTCTCTGTCATGATCAGAAAGTTATGGAATCAGGAATTTGTCTTGCCAGTGGCTTGCTGGAGAACCTAGCTGCCTTTGCTAAATTCAAGCCAGCAAAATAGACTGCCCTTGGTCCAGCTTGCTTCCTAATATTACTAGTTCATTTGACTGTTAGAAGATAAACTATTAACTATTTGGTCCCTAAAAGCAAGAAGCAAGTGAGGCTGGGCAGTGCTTTTGTTTTGTTTGTTTTGAATTAGCAAAAATTAGATGTGAGAAATTATCAAAATATGGAAGCTGTTCTCAAAAGAAATGCCATATATACATCCTTATTGAAGATAGAGAACCCTGGGTTGGGTTGGCTGCCAATCAAGTTCCAGTGTCACCTATCAGAATAGAACTGGGAGAATACAAGAAAAAAAAAAATGAGTCCTAAATCTTGCAACCAACACCAAGAGCTGTCCCTTTAATTTTTTAATGTTATTGCTAAAATATAAGTTAAAATAATTTATTGAATTTCAACATTCAGTTTTTCACTGGTTTTAGTATATAAAGACAGATTGTATACACATAAAACCATATTGAGTGGTTTAGGAAAGCACATAATGAAAAAGAAAAAAAAATAAATTTTTATTTATTTATTTATTTATTTATTATTTAAGAGAGAGAGAAAGAGAGAGAAAGTATGAGCAGGGGGAGGGGCAGAGGGTGAAGAAGAAGCAGACTCCCCACTGAGCAGGGAGCCTGACAAGGGGCTGATCCCAGGACCCTGGGATCATGACCTGAGCCGAAGGTAAACGCTTTACCACCTGAGCCACCCAGGCACCCCCCCAAAAATTTTTAATTTAGCTAGCTCTTAAACTGTTATACTACATGCAGGAGAAAACAAACAACTCCAAAATTTCTTTCCCTGCAGAAGATCCAAACAAAATTTTGCTCAGTAATTATTATTGTGCCACCATTATTAAGTTAAAAATAACCAAATATTTTTTTCAAGTGGTCTTGGTGGCAGAAGTGGAAAAGATGGGGTTTGTCTGTAACTCTTCTTGTTCTGGATTCCCCTTTCTTTACACTTAAGGAACAGATGTTCAAATACTCTTACTAATCCTACTGCAGAAAAGCTTCTCCCTCTACTACCTCCTCTGATCCTCCAGAATTTTCCCAGCCAGAGCTGTCCAATACAATTCCCTGTGATGATGGGATGAAGAAAATGTTCTATATTCTGTGTTGTCCAGTACAGACAATAGTCAGTAGTGCCAGGTGGCTATTGAGTACTTGAAGTGCAGGGAGAATGACTGAAGAAATGACTTTAAAATTTTTATTTTTAATTTAATTAATTTAAATTTGAATTAAAATAGCCACATGGGCTAAGGGCTGTCCTATTGAATGGGACAGCTCCAAACCTCTATCACCTCTTCACCCCAAACTGTAATTAAATATTTCTATTTTCTTAGTAGAATGGTACAGTTGATCTCAGATATAGATATCTAGGAAAGTAATTGATGTTTATTATTTTACATTGAGGCACTAATTATTGCATCTGTATTAACCCTGAAAGCAATTATTTGTGTTTGAAATAGAAAGATGCTTGATTCAGTCAATGATAAATGTTTTTTAATCCCCTCTGTGTTGAGCCCCACTTTGGGTACTGGGGCTTTGGCAAAGAATGAAGCACACAGACAATAAATAAACTACTAAATGTATAATAGGACAAGTAATAATCAGACCTGAAAAGAAATACGATGCAGGATGATTTTATAAATGTTATAATGAAGAATATTTTGTAAATCCAAACATATATGAAATCCAAGTATACCGCTAAACTATTTGATATCAAGCAGAGTGTTGGGAGACATTTTAAGTTTCCTAGTTCTACCTAGTATATAATACGAAAGATTCCTAGTTATTGCAATAATGCCTATTAAATTATCCAGAAAATTGGCAGCAGTAAAATACCTTAAAATGCAGATAAACCATATATAGATGATTATAAGTATAGATATTAAACATAGGGGGATTTGAAGTAATGGATATCTTCTGGGGTCAAGACATGACCAGAGTTTGTGTCCTTGGAGGTAAATTTTGCCTGCCATGGGACACTTCGTACTGACAGGGTCCTACAGCTTTGGTCTTAACAGCAATTGTTTTGATGAATGCCCATCAACATGGGGAAAGATTCAAAGGCTTGGGCCCATACATGAAAAAGCAGGGAATCTGAGATTTCAGTGCAAAATAATGCTTATGAAAGGCAAGAACCATGATGAGTGGAAAAATCATTACCGGGCAGTCCTTGGCTGTGGGTAGAAGGAATCAGAATTTCCCTTTAGATTGTAAAATAATGGATTAGGCCTTACGTGGATTTAGGACCTGAATTTACACTATACACATCATCCAAGACCTAACGTGGGCTAAATAGCAGAATCAAAGTCAAATCTCTGGAAGAGCACAGTTTCAGTATAGGCCTCAGAGATCCCCATATTCTCATGAATATGAAAATTAAACACACACAATACAAGAAAACCAGGCAGCAAAAGTTAAGAATAATTAGAAATATAAAATGTAAATACTAGAATCAGATACATACGACCTTCAGAAATTTATATTGACAGAAAACAAATATTGAAAAACATGCTAAGTATGATTAAAGAAATAAAAGTTGTAATTGAAAACAAACGTAAGAAGTAAAATCTATAGAATAATAAGTCATGCTGTAAAAAGAACGAAAAAGAACTTTTTGGAATCCTTGATAAGTTCCAAAAAAACCTTAAAATTACCTTGGGATTTTGATTGAGAGTACATTAAATTTATTGAAAATCTGTGGCGACTGCCATCTTGAATCTTACCCCAGAGAAGCAAAAGCTTCTTACTAGAGGCCTTTTTTAGCTAGTTTTATTCCAAGATACAATTTGGACCTTGGCATGATTGCTAATGGAATGCCTTTTTCATTGTGTTTTCTAATTGCTCATGTTTAGGAAAGTGATTGATTTTTTAATGTTTTTATTCTGCCATTATAATCTTAATTTTCCTAATACTTTTGCAATTGATTCTGTTAATCATTCAAACATCTAGAAGCAATGATGGTTTTTTACTCCTCCTTTCCAATACATAACTCTTTGTTTCTTGCAACTGGCTAGGAAACCTGTAGAAATCCTGAACAATAGTATGATAGTGGACATTTACATCTTGTTCCTAAAATCATGGGAATATTTCTAGCTGTTCATTCATAAGTTTAAGGTCAGCAGAATGATTCTGGTAGAGGGGTCAGCAGACCCAGGGGCCAAATGTCCAGTAGCCTGCTTTTATAAATCAAGTTTCATTGGAATTCAGCCATTCCACTCATATTGCCTATGGCTGCGTTCATACTACAGTGGTGGGCAGAGTTGAGTACAGATTGCAAAGCTAAAAATAATTTACTATCTGAACTTTTACAAAAAAGTTTTTTGAATCTTGTTTCATGTATATATGTACATACATATACATATATACACACACACATAGAGATTAACTTTATCATTATGATATATAATATATATAACAATGACATATATATTAATTATAATATATATAATTTCTTTATCAATCTGGCATATGTGAGATTTCAAACATTGGGAGCAAATAATATGACTTCTCTATAAAACAAATATTAAATATGACATACAAATATATATATGAAAATAAATGACATTAAAGACTGATCCCATTTTTTATTTACTATTCTTTTCTCTGAAAACAAATGTGGGTACACAAAAATACCTTGAATCTAGATTGTAATTCTCTATAGGAAGGGCTAAAAGTACTTTAATGAGAAAGCTAAGTGGTGAATGTCTGAGTTGTAATGAGGATGAACGGAAGAAGTTGTTCTCACCTCAAATTATCCACATTAACTTACTGAGAGGTGAAGTACACACCTCTAAAAAGCTTCAGTGGGTGCAGGTGTTGACTTTAACATGGTTGCTAATATTTCGGGATCACAATTAAGCACACCACAATAACTGTCTCTTGGTTAGTATCTGTTAAACCTTAAAAGAGAGTGTTATACTGTGACATGTTTCTGAATTTCACATACGTTTCTTGATTTTGTTTATTACACTAATTTTATAGTTTTGGCAGAACAGGAGGTCTAACTAGTTTCATATTTTTAGCGCACTTCCTAACTATCTGAATCAAGCATGTTTTAATATCCTTCTGTCAAAATAACAACTGATTTTCATTTAAATTATTTTTTAAGATAAAGCACAACATTAAATCAATGGAAGAAACAGTTGTGGCCTCCACCTGTGTTATATTATTAGATTTTTAACACATCAAATGATTGAAAAATGTAGAGCATCATTTTAAAGATGTTAATCACCATTGGCCTTCAGCAATGAATGGCTGCAACTTTAATGTGCCTCCTCCAAAAATGTTTAGCAGTGCTTAACAAACTCATGGCTCACTTATTTCATAAAAGGGATCTTTAATAAT